TTTCAGACATGACATCCAATATATCAAACTCCAGAAGGAGTTCCTTCTTCTTTTTCTTAAGAGCAGCCTCCCTATTAATGTTCCACCCTTTAATCTTTTTTCTAAGATTCTTAGTTTTACATAACCAATTCTCAGCAGAGGATTTAACTGAAGAAACAGAATTCCAGGCTTCCACCACCATTTGATGGAAGTCTGGTTGTGAGAGCCACCATTTCTCAAACCTAAATGGTTTGGGGGTGGTTGGGGCTCTGGCACCAGTATCCAGGACCAAGGGAGTATGGTCACTCCCCACCCTGGGGAGAGCAACTAAAGTAGAAAAAGGAAAGTGTGTATCCCAGTTCACAGAAACAAACACTCTGTCTAACACAGCAAAAATAGGGGAGACCTGGTTGTTAGACCAAGTAAACACCCTATTGGAGATAGAAATCTCCATCAATGCCCACCTATTGATCCAATCGTTAAACAAGAAAACAGTCTGTTGATTAACCAAACCACTACTCTTCTCCTTATCATTCCTAACCAAGTTAAAATCTCCATAGATCATAACTGGGTAAGAAGCATTAGACAAGGTATCATGTAATTCAGTAATAAAGTCTATCTTAAATTCAGGGTAAGCAGACCCATAAACCAACACCAACTGCCAGATGAAACCATCAGACTTATTTTTAATGGTAGCAACAATTGAAAACTTTTGATTAATAAAACCAACCACTTCAAAACAGTTTTTTCTGAAACCCACAAGGATCCCACCCGCAGTATTATCAGCTGGCAAGAAATGCCAAACAAAATTATCAAATTTAGCTATAGACTTGAGGAAACCCTCAGAAATGATTTCTCTCTTAGTCTCTTGAAAACCAATAAAGTCAGGATTAGATTTGGCAATAGTATCACACATGCACTGAATCTTACCATGTTGGCCCAAACCCCTAATGTTCCAAATAAGACCTATCATTAATTAATTTTAAAAGGGTGGGACAAGCCACAAGGCTTACTCTTAGTTAGCATCATAGGTGCCCCCCTGGAAGCATCAGCAGTGCCCACTGGTTCCATAGGGGGCATACCATTAGGTGTACTAACTAAATCACTGGGGTCAAACTCAAGGTTATCAGGCAGCACAATTTCAGGATTGTTGTTGGCAAAAACCAAACACCTCTCTTTCTCTACCTCTATCATCTCATCAATAGTAAGTTTCTTTTGATTGTCATCCCCCCCAATCACCAAATCCATTTGACTCATCTGATTAGCAAGAATATTTTTATCCATAGTAGAGACGGATTTACCTTTGAATGTGGGTGGGATTTCCAGATTCTTCTTCCTCTTATACGCTGTAGCTTTTTCCATAATGTTAGTATTGCCATGGCCTCTGGTAGTAGGTCTTGTTGCAACAACAGGGCCCCACCTTGACTTGTTTTCCTGAACAACCTCTCCATTTTTAGCTTGAGCAAGTGATTCCAGCAAGGATCTCTTCCAAGTTTCACTCTGGAGAATTTGAATAGCCTCAGGAGGGAGAACCCCCATCTCACCTTCTATCCCCTCATCTTCAGAGTCATGCATGTCCACTGATCTCAACAGATCCTCACAGTAATTCATATTCTCAGTATTACTCTCAGGGTTGGTGTTAATGGTTTTTCCTTTGGGAACAGGAGTTTTGTAGGCATCTCCTCCCCTGTCCTCACAGTGTAGGTCTTGATCTGTCAGTCCACACATATATCCAGAAGCATGCCCATGTCCATCAGAAGATGAACCCTTAGAGTCATCTTTTGTCACAGTATATTCCAGAATAAAGTTCTCCTGGTCAGCGTCTATGTTATCTCCCATGTGTGCATCCATCCTCACTTGAACATCAGATTTTTTTGAAGAGTTTTGTTTGGATGAGAAATTGGCCTTGTCCAGTTCATCAATGGCTAGGTCACCACCTCCTGACCCATCAGAAATATGGCCACCCTGGGTCCCTTCATGTCCTTCTGTCTGGTTCTCCTCAGCCTTCTCATCCTCCTCAAAGTCCTCCTCATCTCCATCTACATCAATAACAGAATCAACTCCACCTGTTTGTTCAAAACCTTCCACTGTAAAGCCAAGTAAAAACAATTTCTTCTTCATCTCAATTAGTCTCTCAAAAGGGACTTTGGTAGGGTTTCTGCAAGCAATCTTAACTCTGACATTCTCAAAAAAAGTTCTAAACATACCATTCCAATCCACATCTGTAAGAGCTCCAAACAGTGAGGCAATTTGAGCAAACACTTTCCAAGTACACCACTTGGGAGGAATCCCTTCAATCAGCACCCAAGCTTCAATCAATTCACCAAATGGTTCACATCCACCTTTCCATTCAGTAAGAGTCACATTGACATCCTGTGGCAGGGAAAACCCAGGCAGCTCAATAAGATCTTCCACTTTTTTCCAGGGAGGGAACATAACCAAGAAAGTCTTACTAGACAACCCTCTGATTTGCCAGGGCCAACTTTTAGATTTGCAAAAAGTAGCAAAAAGCAATTCCCTTAGATTAGTACCATTCACTTCTCCTTTCAGAATGTTAACCACTGCACAGTTTTGGAAGTTCAACCACTTGGACTCATTTGCAACAGGGACATCCACATGGTAAAAACCAAGACCTTGAGCTCCACTACCAAAAAAGGCAGCAGTAGGCTGAACCTTAGACCAAGCTGCACAATTATTGACATTATGATTTTGCTGACAGATAAAACAGGCCTTCGGCTTCACACAATTCCCAACGTAGTGCCCCGGTCCACCACAATTGAAGCAGATCATGTCCTTGTACCTAGGGTCAAGGACTTGTTCCATCTCAACCTCCACAGACTGGGATGACTGTACCTGAGCAGATCCAACAGTAGAAGCTGTGGATCTGATAGGCTTGGGAGCAGGAGCCTGCTCCTTTGTTGCAGGCGCAGCTGGTTTCCGCCCAGCAGGCGCAGCAGGCTTCTGCCCTACTCCCTTGGCCAGAGCAGCAGGGTGGTTGCTTCCTCCAGCGCGACGATCTGCCATCTTCACCCCACGCTTAACAGCCTCAGCAAAGGAGATAGAACCAGGGCCAATCCCCTCACGAGCAACTTTGATTTGTATGGGGGTGGGTCGTACGGCCGACGAGTTGCAGGAAAACAATCCGCAGCCGAAAAGGCTTTGTTCTCAACCAGGTCTCTCCAGATCCAGCAAAGGAATCCGGATTTTTGGTGATCTTGAGGTCGAGGGGTAGGGTTTCTGGGGGGGGCGGCGGCGAGGGGGGGAGGGAATGAGCCAGAGCTGGCCAAAGTGCTCCTCAACGTTTTCTAGGTTTTTGGCTTTACGCAAACCCCTCGTGGTTCCCGCTTTCTCCTCAACGACACGCATTTTGATCGTGGGCCCAGGCAGATCTGGATTCACCCCACGGGAAAGGAACAAAGCCCCCGTTCCTGGAACGGGGTTAGGATTTAAAACCTGGCCGAGCCTGTCGCCGGACAAATTCTCCGACGAGGTCTCGCCCGCCGCAGAAGCAGCACCAGATCCCTTGTTGTACTGGAAGTCAAGGGGGAGAACCCCCGAATCTAACTCCACATCTGGAACTAACGCATTAGGAACTGAAACCATTTGTTCAATCGAACAATCACCCTTGAGCATCCCCCGGCGGCGCAGTCGAAAATCCCGCAGCCTAGCCTTGAGAGTTGAATTAGCACAAAAATGTAAACCCAACTCACCTGGCCATGGAGGAGGATCAATGGCTCGTCGCTGTGCCCGAACCGGTTGGGGAAGACGATCCACTGGCGACACGGGGGCCAGGCGGTCCCCGCAGGGATGAACTCCGGTGGGATCCTGGCGATCCCCTCCCACGAAGGCGGCCTGATGTTGAGCCTCGAGGGGTTCGCCGTCTTGAAGTTCTCCCAGCGGGCGGCCTGCCGCGGATCTGACGATTCCGCCTCCTGAATCGCCCAGAAGAGGAGCTCCACATCCTCGCAACCATCGTCTCCGATGAAGCGCGCGCGCTCGACGAAGTTCGCATGGCGGAGGATGTGCATGTGGATCTCCCCCCACATGTCGCGGTCGGGGAAGCGCTCCATCACCACCCGCCTCATCTCGCGGCGAGCCTCCGGCGAGTGCGGATCGATCTCGGGTAGCGGCGCTGCAGCTGGCGGTGGAAGCGCCCGCGGCTCCGCAACCCGTGCCACCGGCACAAGCCGGCGGACCCGCACCCCGCGGCGTCGCGCTCCGGTCATGCTTCTTCTCTGCTGTGGATTGGGGGCGGGGAGAGCTCGGTGAGATGTGGGGGTGGGTAGGAGGATGTGGATTTAATGGCGGCGTACGCGCTTCGCCCGAGAGGAAGGGGAGGTGGCGGGAGGGTGACATCGGTCCTATTCACAGGTTGGTTCGTTCGGGCAGGTCTTTTTGTTAGGTGGAGAGATAATTAGTCAGTGATCGTAACGTGGCTTCGCGTGCATACGACTCCACGTGCATGGCTCCAAGAGACGGTTCCGTCGTGTAACATCGCCACATCGTCCTTTCCTTCCCAAGGTGCCGTGGTCCGTGGAACGAAGTACATCTACAGGATTAGCACAGGAGCGGTATCGCCGATCGACCGCAGCGGTGCTGCGCACCATGTCGACGCGTACCCTCGTCCTGTCCTGCGCCCCGTCTGCGTCCGTCCGTGCCGTGCGTGCGTGCGTGCCGACCACCTCTCTCCCCTCCCCTCCCCTGGCGGTGCGTTCACCGGCATGCATGCGTCGCAGGAGCCGAGGCCAGGCAAGCCGTGGACGCGGTCACCGCACGGCAAGTCGGCACCCGCCCCCACGCCCGCCCCGCGTCCATCGAGGCCCCGCCACGTGCCCGCCCGCCCTCGCCGCTACCCGAGCCTGATCTGATCGATGTGCTCACTCACGCACGCACGCGCTCCCCCCGCTCGCCCACCCCTCATCACTCCAGTGCTACGGTTCGACAGACTTCCAGACACGGACACCATCATCCATCCACCGGCGACGCTTCCAGCTCCGACGAACCGCTCGGGACCCGACACCATGTCCATCTCGCTGCGCCTCGCCATCCCCACCGCGGCGCCCTGCCCCGCGCCGCCGCCGCGGGCGCGGGCGGCGCGGAATGCGGGCTGCTCCCCGCTCTCCGCGGCCGCCGTGCCGGTGCGGACCACGGCCGCGCTCAGGTCAGGCTGCTTTCCCGGGTCCCCTCGGCGCGCGCCGGCGCCCGCTCTCCTTCCGTGCGATTCGCTTACCCACCGCGCCGTCCGGTGATCTTATCGTCTTCCTGTTTGCAGGGGATGCGCCGCTCTGCCGCTGAGGCCGCAGCCGCTGGTCCGGCCGTGCCGGAGCCGGGGGAGCGCCGTCGTCTGCAGCGCCTCGGCGTACCTCAGCCCGCCCACCACGCAGTGGGTCTCCGTCGCGGCCGCCGCGTGAGTGCCTCGCCCCCCCTCCCCTCCTCCTCGCTACCCAACCATAAAGCAGTACCTTTCTCCGGCACGATTTGCTCGCGCAGAAACGCACGAGCCTTTCCGTGCTCCGAATCTGTTCGCGCTTTTGCCCGCGAGGGCGGCGAATCCCATGCGCGGGTGTTGGTTTTCTCCTGCTGATGCTGGTGCCGGATTGTGAGATGCGCGATCCCTGTCACACAGATTCTGCAGTCTCTGTTGATGGTTACTCGATCAGAGCAGAGCTCAGATGACATTACGACAACTTTTGCATACTTTTTTTCTTAAAAGAACTGCTACTCCCTCCTATCCGAGTTAATTGACGCAGCTACTATACAATGTCCTCTATACAGTTGGTCTGTTGATCAATAACCATGCACATATATTTTCACGGCGAGTACACAACGCATCACGTGAATCCACAGCTCTAGGAGCTAGTCAGGTAGGAGCAACATTAACGCACTTCACAAGAACTAGATAGATAGTGTACTTGCAGCACCATGCGATGTGATGACGAATGATGCCAGATTTTCGTTCTGCTTGCACTTGAACATAACTCCATGTATTTAATAGCGCCACTTTGTATCACAGGACAGTGCATTGCATGGTTTTCGTATTAAAAAGTTTGAATGTCGTATTAGTCGAATGCAGAAATTGACCCAAGGTATCAATTCCAGTCACGTTAACATCATCAGTCTGTTGAACATAACTTGCAGGGGTTTCGGTCCAGTTGGTGACTTGCTTAGCTTGCCGCAGAACCGTAGTATATCTACTTTATGCTTCCGATGTATCATAAGTACTAGCACATATTCATGTTGCGACAATAACTGTCAACGCTGAGGTGGTAATCTTGCTTCAGATCTTGGATGAGTTACTGGGCCTGTTCAGGCCATGACTCCAAATTGTAATTGTTTTCTTGAGGACGGGCAATCTTGTATAACTGAAAGTGATACATTCTTTGAAAACTCAGCTCCTACTATTCTCGCCTTGTAGATTTTTAATTCCGCAACATATTTGGTTTTGTCATAAAATGATTGGATTATTCTGAAGAAGTACAACCCCCCCTCAACGATTATTATTTGAGAATTTATTTATTACTCTTTTGCCTCTTGCAGAGTGCTATTGCTTGCTAAAGGCACAGGCATACACAAATCTTTCCTCGTGCCATTGTTTGTTCTGCAAGCACCTACCGCCGTAATCTCATGGATCAAGTAAGATTCTGCCATTTGGCCCAAAGAATTATCTGACGATACCTTTTCCCCTTTCCTTGCTATAGCTACTGGATGTTTATTCTTTTTGAGACAAGAACACTTACTTTTGGCCTACTTATCCTGTGGTGTCTATTCCTAATTTTAGGAGTGAATATGGACTGTGGACTGCTTTTCTTGCGCTTGTGGTGCGTTTGTTCTTACCCTTTCCAGGTAGAGTGACAAGGAAGATCCATACGTCCTGCCTAAAATCAATTGTGTTATTTGATGAGACATGGAACAGATATATGTTACTTACGCATGTGCTTCTGTCTATTGCAGGTGAGCTAGAGCTTCCGCTGTCAACGATGCTGGCAGTCAGCGTTGCCCCTTACCAGGTGATGAATGTGAGGTATGAAACATTCTCGCCATTTGGAAAGACATTAGCTGTACTGTTTGCCTACTGCTGCATATGTTAGGTTCTTAGCTTTTCAGTTTATGTCCTGGTTGCTGCTTTTTCCTCATTCTCTCCGGTCCTACTTCCTATCTACAGGGGAACTCAAGGTGGCGCGATAGTGTCGTTGGTACTAGCCGCGTACCTCGCCTTTCAGCACTTCACCAGGACCGGAGGAATAGGAAAAGCCTTCGATCAGGGATCGATAGTTGCGACCATGGCCATCATCTGTATCGCAGTTATCAATGTGATCCTGCTGTTCTGAGTTGCCAAGAGCTACTTCAGAGTGCAGATAAATAAAAAGAAACCTTGTAGCGCATCATCCTGTCAGACTTTGTAGCTTGTTTTATCGTAATAAGAATGACCTCTGAGTTGTGACATGACTGATAGTATATATCACCGTGTACGGTGTGGTTTGGGAAGTAGTTCTGTCTTTGTGTGATACAGTGTTAGTTTTCAGTTCTTCCTGATGGCCAGTTTCTCCCCCCTTTTGTCGATCTCTTGCTCATCTTGGCATCAAAAGTTTGGTATCAACAAAGCGTAGCAGTTTATTTGTTACTTTTTTGCCTTTTGCAGTGTGCTGTTGGTTTCTAAAGAGACAGGCATACACAAATCCTGGCTCATGCCATGGTTTGCACAGCAAGCACCTAGCAGTGTAATCCCATGGATCAAGTAAGACGCTGCTATTTGGTGCAAGGAGTTATCTGATACATTTCCCCTTTGTTTCACATAAGAATACTCTCTCTTGCCCTGCTTATACTATGGTATCAAATCCTCATGTTAGGAGAGAATATGGACTCTGGACAGCTTTTCTTGCGATTTTGGTGCGCTTGTTCTTACCCACTCCAGGTAGAGTGACAAGGAGGATTCAAACATCAGGCTAACATTGAGTTGGATAATCGATAAAACATACAACCCGGGGTATGTTACTTACGGCGCATGCTTTATGTCTATGGCAGGTGAGCTGGAGCTTCCGCTCTCAACAATGTGGCTTATCATCATTGCTCCTTACCAGGTGATGAGTCTGAGGTATGAAACATTCTCCCTATTTTGGCTATACTGCCACTACTGTATCTGTTAGGGTATTAGTTCTTGCTCATTCGCTCCGATGCCTACCTCCCGTGCACAGGGGAACTCAAGCTGGCAGGATACTATCTTTGGCGATAGCTGTGTATCTCGCCTTTCAGTACTTCACCAGGAACAGAGGGTTGCGTAGAGCCTTCCGTCCGGGATCGATAGTCGCGACCCTGGCCATGATCTGCATCACAGTTGTCAACGTGATCCTGCTGTTCTGAGTTGCAAAGAGTTCACCCCTTGTTGTAGGCCTCGACTGTCGAGGGGAGGAGGAGCTACTCCAGAGTGCAATCTACTGATATATGTATCTTCATGTACGGTATGCTTTGCACAGTGGTTGTGTGTTCGTGTTCATTTATCCCTGACCCTCTTTGTTGATCCTCTTGTTTGTCTTTGCACCAGAACTTTGGTATCAACAGATCTCAGCAGATTGTTCGTGCGCGATGGAGTCGCGCAGGTAGGGATGGGGCTTTGATTTTAGTTTTTTTTTTCTGGTCCATAACAATTTCACACCCATCTCTTATATTTTGACGACAATTTTTGTCGACTCGGGCACAATCAAACTCAAAGGAGGGACAAAAAGGAGCAGGAAAAGTGAGGAGCCCCTTGATATAAGAATGTACTCCCTATTTGGCATACGATTTTCTCTGAAGCCAAAATTTTCAAAGGTTTCATGGTTTGACCTAGTTTATGGGAAAAATATTTAACATTTATAAATAATTAAATATACCACATGCATATCCTATGAGAATGCATTTCATGATGTATTTGATGATATTGATTCTGTATTGTTGATGTTGACGTTTTTTCTATAATTTTGGTCAGGCTTTAAAGCGTTTGACCTGAGTAAAAAAATGCACATGCCTTTGCAAACCAAAAAGGAAAGAGTAATTAAAATGCATATGCCTTGGCAAACCAAAAGGGAGAGAGTAATAATATAAATAAAGATATTGTCAGTGGAAGATGAGTTATTCGATCACTTTATTTTTTGCGGGGAGTTCTTCGACTTTGGTAAACCATCATAGACCGTGGATGATCGATGATTGATGGTGAACGCTACTTGAAATCCCAGTTCCTCACCATATCGCCGGAACCTTGAATTCGACATGTTTTACGCTCTATGATATGAGCGGTAGTTCGACGATAAGGCGTGAAAACAACCGGGATGATGGGGCTCGATAACATACATCATCTTAAATTTGGAAATTTTCAAATTCCGGAAAAAAGAGAGCCTACCCCCCGTGTTTCGTTCCTCAAATAGGGATGAGTGTATGCGTGTGTATATGGGGGATGGCTTTTGAATCGACCCGGTCAAAAATCGATCGTCGTTTTGCGCTTCATCGGGCCCAAAAAGCGTCCGAATTAAAAAAAAAGGAAGTTTCTGAAAGAGTTCTTTTGAAGGTATTTTTTTTGGCAGGATGCTCCCTTTCACATTTTACCCTTTTCCATTCCGTTCGTGGCAAAAAAAGAAAAAAGAAAAAAGAAGAAAAGAAAAAAAAGAGAAGGTGGAATCAGATTCAGTTACCACTCATAGACCGCGGCTCTCCACCGTCCCTTGCATTTCTTCGCCGATTCCTCCTCGTCGCCCTCCCCCCTCCCCTGGCGACCTACCACCGCCGCCCGGCCACCGCCGTGCCCTAGCCCCGCCTCGCCGCCGGCGGCCTCGCTCCCCAGACCCCTCCCTCCCTCCGCCTCCCACGCGTCTCCGTCGCCTCCTCCGCCTCTGACGCGCGTCCGCGTCCCGCATCGCCGCGACCCCGCCCGATCCCGAGGTACGAGCTCCAGCGAATCGCCAGGCCCTCGCCGCCGCCCGCGAATCTCGTGCGCGCCGCCTAGATCCGTCCCCCGGTAGGCCTCAGGCGAGCGGCGGTAGCTCTGGCCGCGTGCCTCGCCTCCCCTTCCAGCGCCTCGCCAGGAACGGGCGGGCGGAATTTCGGGGCACCAGAGTTTCGGCCCAGAGCTTGATTGGTTCGTCAGTTATATGCTTGAGGAGCTTGTCCGACGGAGTAGCTCATAGGTTGGCCGGAGAGAGGGACATCATTCGTGTGAGCAGTGTCTCTGTTCCCTGCACTGGGTTGTGTGGCAGGTCATGCATCAGACCCAAGTGATCGCAGATCTTGTCGTGGTATCATTTAGCATTCCTGATTGTTGATTTGCCATGCATAGCGAGGATAAATCGTGCTGTACTTTGTTACTTGTTGGCTTCAAGCACTTCTACTGAAGTCCGAAAAACTTATGTACAAATGTCGGGTGCAGGTTGACTGCCTTCATCCAGTCCTGTCAAGGACAATGGCCCTATTCAGAACGTTGCCACTTTTGCAGTTATATCATTTAGCACTCTTCTTTTTCTGAAAAAAAATTTAGCACTCTTGAAATGTTGATTTGCCGTAGACGGAGAGGTTAAATCGTAGGTGCTGTTCTTTTTTTTTTTGGTTGGCTTCAAGTACTTCTGTTGAAGTCGGTATACTTATGTACATTTGTTGGGTTCAGGCTTACTGCCTTCATCCAGTCCTGTCAAGGACAATAGTCCACTTTTGCAGTTATTGCTTGTCCCACTCCCAGTACCTGACCGAGCAACAACCTTGGTTCAAGATGGTATGCCGGTGTTAGGTTTGACGTTAGGACTTAGAAACGCTACTGCAAGACCTGTTGAAGAGCTGGGCCAGTATTAGTTGGTGTCTGGTTCCCTTTTCGAAAACAGAGATACCCCAGGATCAGGATGGGTTATGCAGTTTTATTTACCTCCATTTTTCCAAAGTAAATTTTGTATGTCTTATTACATTGACTTCCCAGTATGTGTTTATGTAAACATGTTCTTTGTACTGCTACATTATGGTTGAAATGTCAATATCTTCCCAGAATATGCTTCAGATTTCTTTCTAATTTGCCTATGCCCTGGCGTGTTTTATGCCTACTAATTTTGATGGCATTGAGATAAATTATCTGATAGAAATCTATCTTCTTGTAGCTTGTTTGAGCATCCATTCGTACAGTATGTCGGAGAAGCCATCTGATGATACGACTGGCCAGGTGAGGCCTGAAGGAGATGTTTCTGATGTGAAAGTGGAAACTGCCAACCAGGATAAAGGAAATGAGATGCCATCAGCACAGCAAGAGGTATCATCTTTTGTTAACAAGTGTACTGCTTAACCTTGTGTGCTTGCATGTTTCCATCTGTACGATTTTACTAATTTACTTTCTATGTAAAACTGTCAAAAATATATCCATAAGCACAATCCGACTTTACCAAGTATTTGCAGGAAGCAGTAATCAAGAAAAAGTATGGAGGAGTACTGCCCAAAAAGTCACCACTCATATCCAAGGTATCATTGCCTTCAATATATTACTACCTACTACTGTTAAATGTTTATGTCATCTATGTATAAAGCAGTCAGGGAAGATAAATTAATTTTAGCCCCATATCCATTAGTTTCACCTGTGTTAAAATGTGTTATCAGGACCATGAGCGAGCTTACTTTGATTCTGCTGATTGGGCTCTGGGAAAGGTATTGTACTGTTCTTTTCGGAAGTTATATGGATTTTGAGGAAGCAATGCAACACCTACGCGATCTTGCTCACCTGATCGTTTGGTTTCCTGCAGCAAGGAGGACATCCTCAAAAGCCTAAAGGGCCGCTTGAAGCACTTCGACCGAAATTACAGGTGCTAAAACTGGCACTCATTGTTTGCATGATTGTGCTTACCTTGTATTATACCACTGTTGATACTGTATCTGTTTGACATTATCCGCTAGCTCTTTCATTAGTGTATTTGCTGGTCTTTCTATTAACCCAATAGATACATATCCATCTTTTGGTATAGTGTTTAAAATGAACTCAGTTCAAGGTACCTGCCCGCTAGTCCTGCTAGTAATTCTTTGCTTGTGGAGCTGATTTTGTTATCAGACGTACTACACTACTACTGTTGATACTTTCTCCGTTTGGCGCCAGCTGCTAGCTGGTCCATTTGCGCATTTGGGAGTCTTTCTAACAATCCAATAGATGACATATCCAGTTTTTTGGCCCAGTATTTAAACTAGATTCAGTGTCAATTACACGTTTTGTCACCTCATTCTTGTTAGTAAGTCTTTGCTTGTGGAGCTATCCTTTTGCTGTCAAAAATGTGGTAATAATTATGAAATTAACTTGCATGCTACACTGAATTTATTTGGTCGCTTACATCTTCCTCGATGTTCCTGCAGCCTACCCAGCAGCAAGCCCGTTCACGCCGATTCCTTCATGCATCTACTGACAGCGACGGTACTTCATATTTACAAGATACCAAGCAAGCAATCCAGTACATTTATCTTGCCATCCTCACAAGCATCGCTTTGCCATCTTTGCCATTGCAGAGGGCGCCAACTCGCCTACGGAGGTGACGACCCCGACCCAGGAGTCCACCGAGGAGGCCAAGGCGGCCGAGAACAAGGAAGCCACCGAGTAGCTCCCATGGCCTTTTTTGAACGGAACTCAGCCATTTGCTGCGCCCATGCCGTCTCGTTGCAGTAGTAATAAGTATTCTGGACGTCGTGTAACGCCTGCTGAATTTTGAACTGAAGTGTCGCAGACATGCCGTTATCCACCGCGCTATGCCATTCCATGGCTGTTGATGCCTGTAACAGTTCGGTATGGGATCGAGAACATTATGATGATGTCGCACCGAGTGTCGTCCGGGTCGGACAGAATAAAAGCATGAGCCTGAAACTTATACTGGTACTGTGTTGAACGTCGAACCGGCTGCTGCCTGCTGTCTGAGCTCCCCCGCTGTAAGGTTTACCGTTTGAATTCCGTGGAATTTCATGAAGGGATCGTGTAATTCATGTTTGGTCTGTTGGTGTATTGTGTCTTGGAACCCTAGTGCTTTTGCTTGAAATCGCCGAATTCCAAACGTGTTCATGACATGATTTCAAAACATGGTCCGAACTTATATAACAAGATAACTGGAGGACGTTTTTTCTGGACTTGTAGGAAATCCAAGCACTGCCAATCACCTAAAGTCTGTTTTTGTTTTTTGTTTTTGAAAAGAACGTAGCCAAAAGTTGAGAGATCTGATTTCATTTCCATGTATACAAAAAAAAACAGAGATCTGATAAAAAAATTAGTCAAGAGATATCCGATCGATGATATTTTTTCATGTGGAGAAATATTCCACTTGTTTAACGGGCTGGAATCGGACGCCGACACGATGACAAGTGGGCCATCGGCCCGGTAGAGGCCTCTCAAGTATATATCAGAAAATAAATATTCGCTTACCCAAACCCTAAAGCCCCCTCGTCCCGTCCTCCTCCTCCGCATCTCAACCCTAACCAAACCCACTCAACCCTCGCGCCGCCGCCTCCGGATCCATCCGCATCGCCGCCGCCGCCGCCGCCGCCGCGAGCATGGGCTTCGACGTGGGCGTGGTCCCCTTCAACCCGGACGGCTGGGGCCCTCCCGACTTGCCGGGCGCGGCGCCGCTGCTGGGCGGGGCCGTCGCGACGGCCTCGATCCCCTTCGCGCCCTTCTCCCGCTCCGACAAGCTGGGCCGCATCGCCGACTGGACGCGCAACCCGGGCCACCCGGGCGCGCACGGCCACCACGGCGCGGCCGCCGTCTCCCGCGACTCGGTCTTCGACTTCTCCTCGGCCGACGACTCGCTCGCCGCCGCCGCCGAGGACTCGTCCTTCAGCCTCGTCGACGCCAAGCCGCCGCCCAAGCACCCGCGCTTCGGGCCCAAGTGGCGCTTCAACCAGCGGCCCCAGCTCCCCCAGCGCCGCGACGAGGAGGTCGAGGCCAAGCGCCGCGAGGCCGAGAAGGAGCGCGCCCGCCGCGAGCGCCACTACCAGAACCACCGCTCCCACCACCACCAGGGATTCCGCGGCAACCAGCAGAACACCGCCAAGCCCTCCGTCGACATCCAGCCCGACTGGACCATCCTCGAGCAGATCCCCTTCGCCAACTTCACCAAGCTCTCCTTCGCCGTCGCCGACCAGCCCGAGGACCTGCTCGTCTGCGGCGCCGTCGACTCGTACGACCGCGCCTACGACCGCGTCAACCCCAAGACGGCCCGCCGCCTCGAGCGCTTCAAGAACCGCCAGTTCTTCAAGATCACCACCACCGACGACCCCATCATCCGCCGCCTCGCCGAGGAGGACAAGGCCACCGTCTTCGCCACCGACGCCATCCTCGCCGCCCTCATGTGCACGCCCCGCAGCATCCTCTCCTGGGACATTGTCGTGCAGCGCGTCGGCAACAAGCTCTTCTTCGACAAGCGCGAGGGCTCCCAGCTCGACCTGCTCACCGTCAACGAGACTGCGCAGGAGCAGCTCCCTGAGAACAAGGATGACATCAATTCCGCGCCCGCCCTTGCTGTCGAGGCCACCTACATCAACCAGAACTTCTCGCAGCAGGTGCTGGTGCGTGATGGCGAGAAGGTTACCTTTGATGAGCCTAACCCGTTTGCCTCTGAGAATGAGGAGGCGGCGCCTGTTTGCTACCGTTATCGCCGCTGGAAGCTTGACGACGATATTAGCATCATTGCCCGCTGTGAAGTGCATGCTGCTGGTGTTGATCCGAGTGGTGCTCGCCAGTTCCTCACTCTTAATGCACTCAATGAGTTTGATCCTAAGATTACTGGGGTTGACTGGAAGCAGAAGCTCGAGTCCCAGCGTGGTGCTGTGCTTGCTACAGAGCTCAAGAACAATGCCAACAAGCTCGCTCGCTGGACTGCCCAGGCTTTACTATCTGGCGCAGACATGATGAAGTTGGGTTACGTGTCACGTGTGCACCCCCGCGACCACTTCAACCACTCCATACTCACTGTGATGGGCTACAAGCCAAGGGACTTTGCTACCCAGATCAACCTCAACACTGCAAACATGTGGGGCATTGTCAAGTCGATTGTGGACATATGCATGAAGTTTGAAGAGGGAAAGTATGTGCTTGTGAAAGATCCTGCCAAGCCACAGATGAGGATTTATCAGGTTCCTAATGATGCATTTGAGAATGATTATGTTGAAGAGCCACTTCCAGAGGAGGAGCAGATTCGTCCGGCTACAGATGATGTCGATGCTACTGCACAGGAGATGGATGCTGCTGCCGAGGCAGAGGCTAATAAAGCAACTACTCAGGGTGGTGATGGTGAGAAGAGTGCAGATGCTGCTGCTGCTTGAAGGGTATAATGGGCCATCTTTGCTTTATCTAGATAATGTGTCTTTTCTGTTTTATGACCTGTTTTTGTGGATTAAAGAGTTGAACTGCCTTGTCTTGATACAGTGGTCTTATTTTGGTCCATGAGAAAACTTGTTACTCTTAAATTTCGTGCTTAGATGTGCTAAGCTTAGTACCTACTGTTTTGGATTAATAACTATGCTGGTAGTTGAATATTGATTCCATGTGGTTTATCTGCTGTGTATGTTTAGCCATTGTGTATGCACATCTGTTTTTAAGCATTGCCACCAAATGCACCATGAAAACATCGTGGCACTTAGTAACTTCAGATTACCCTGAGTTGTCTTGCAATTTCCATGCTCTCCGGCGATGGCTAAGCTTGTTGCTGTTTGTTCGTCTTAGTTGCAATTGTATATGGGTTGATTGTGCTTTTAAACCTGCGTCGGCTTAAAACACTTTCTATGTACTGCTGGTAGTTTTCCATACTATACCAATAGGGGGAAAGTGAACAGCTTGTTTAGGCCTTTATATGCTTTCTTCAACAATCACTTTCCTCTCATCTAACCTGAAACTTCTGTGTATTTTTGTGCCATTGTTATGTTTCCATGACAGAATAGGAATACGCTTGCCTTTTCTGTTCTTCATACGGGAGGAATGCTTCTGAATCTATCTGCATTGCATACGAAGTGGTTTCACTTTTTTCTCGCTTGTTGCCTTTGCAGGATAAGTGTGTATCGGTTAAATGCCTTTTGATGTGCATTTCTTACTGAAAGTGTTTCCTGCTATATTAATTTGAGGAAAGTGGGCAGTTGGGTTGAGCTTGATAATCTCTTTCGCCAACAATCATTTTCCTCTCATTTCAAATGCATCTCATTGTTATTTTTATGCCTTTGGTATCTGCGCGCTTTTGTTTTGATGAAAATTTAGGAAACAAATATGATGCCTGGAAGCTTATTCTCCGCCTTCAGATTTCTGCATCTTTTGAGCTTGGCCAGTGAAATGTTTGATCGCATATTAGTGTTCTGACAGAGAGGCATTTGAGCGTTCTGACGGAGATGCATTTGCCTTGAAAGCATTGTCTGAGCGCTCACCATTGCACGTCAGAACCATTTGTTCATCTGTTAAAGCATGAGCATCAGGGCTGCATTGTACCAAGGCCTGGGTTCTTTGTACGATCGTCTTGCTTGCCAGATTCGGCTGTAGTCAAACTACCAAGGAAGGAAATCTGGTCGGCCTGCCCATGCTAATGGGCAACCCGCTTACCAACCTTCCTACATCTCTTATCACCATTTTCCCCCCTGAGATTCTGCAAGCTTGTAGCGGAGGGGATCAGTGCTACCTTATTTTCATAGTTTGTTAACCTGTTGTCTTTTTGTCCGTTCTTCTCGTGGGATTATGCATCGGGTTATAGGACGGCGACGGTTGATAGTTGTATCTGATGTGTTCCTGCGTTTTGGAGTGGCTTGCTTCTGCTAGTGTTTCGGTTTGTTAGTGGCCAAGGATTAAAACTAAATTAGGTGATGCGCAGCACCGTGCTACCAGGGCCACCAAGCTGCTGCGTCGCCGTGTGCTGCCCCATGCTCAATTTCTCTGACGAAATGTTCAACGCAGCCTCTGTTCTCTGTATAATTGCACATGCAAATGCTGAAGCTTTGCTAATCCGTTAGTGCTGGATCTGTGCAACTCCCCTGTAGTTTTTGAGGATTATTGTTCGGTGGTGTGATGAAAACATTGAAAATCTGAATACGCAACTTCTAATTCCATGCGCGGTTTCAACCTATAAAATGTTGGCACAAATTAATATCTTTGTAAAGTTTTGCACAATTTCAGCTTAATAAAATGGGCAACGATAGGTGCCGGCGCACCGGCCAAAAGTTCGGCCGGTCGCTCGGTAGCCGTACGATTATTGTTCGGTGGTGTGATGAAAACATTGAAAATCTGAATACACAACTTCTAATTCCATGCGCGGTTTCAACCTGACAAAATGTTGGTACAAATTAACATCTTTGTAAAGTTTTGCACAATTTCAGCTTAATAAAATGGTCAACGATAGGTGCCGGCGCACCGGCCGAAAGTTCGGCCGGTCGCTCGGTAGCCGTACGATTATTGTTCGGTGGCGTGATGAAAACATTGAAAATCTGAATACACAACTTCTAATTCCATGCGCGGTTTCAACCTGACAAAATGTTGACACAAATTAACATTTTTGTAAAGTTTTTCACAATTTCAGCTTAATAAAATGGGCAATGATAGGTGCCGGCGCACGCTCGGTAGCCGTACGATTATTGTTCGGTGGTGTGATGAAAACATTAAAAATTTGAATACACAACTTTTAATTCCATGCGGGGTTTCAACCTGAAAATGTTGGCGTAAATTAACATTTTTGTAAAGTTTTGCACAATTTCAGCTTAATAAAATGGGCAACGATAGGTGCCGGCGCACCGGCCGAAAGTTCGGCCGGTCGTTCGGTAGCCGTATGATTATTGTTCGGTGGTGTGATGAAAGCATTGAAAATCTGAATACACAACTTCTAATTTCATGCGCGGTTTCAACCTGACAAAATGTTGACACAAATTAACATCTTTGTAAAGTTTTCCACAATTTCAGCTTAATAAAATGGGCAACGATAGGTGCCGGCGCACCGGCCGAAAGTTCGGCCGGTCGCTCGGTAGCCGTACGATTATTGTTCAGTGGTGTGATGAAAACATTGAAAATCTGAATACACAACTTCTAATTTCATGCGCGGTTTCAACCTGACAAAATGTTGGCACAAATTAACATCTTTGTAAAGTTTTGCACAATTTCAGCTTAATAAAATGGTCAACGATAGGTGCCGGCGCACCGGCCGAAAGTTCGGCCGGTCGCTCGGTAGCCGTACGATTATTGTTCAGTGGTGTGATGAAAACATTGAAAATCTGAATACACAACTTCTAATTCCATGCGCGGTTTCAACCTGACAAAATGTTGGCACAAATTAACATCTTTGTAAAGTTTTGCACAATTTCAGCTTAATAAAATGGTCAACGATAGGTGCCGGCGCACCGGCCGAAAGTTCGGCCGGTCGCTCGGTAGCCGTACGATTATTGTTCGGTGGCGTGATGAAAACATTGAAAATCTGAATACACAACTTCTAATTCCATGTGCGGTTTCAACCTAACAAAATGTTGACACAAATTAACATTTTTGTAAAGTTTTCCACAATTTTAGCTTAATAAAATGGGCAACGATAGGTGCCGGCGCACCGGCCGAAAGTTCGGCCGGTCACTCGGTAGCCGTACGATTATTGTTCGGTGGTGTGATGAAAACATTGAAAATCTGAATACACAACTTTTAATTTCATGTGCGGTTTCAACCTGACAAAATGTTGGCACAAATTAACATCTTCGTAAAGTTTTGCACAATTTCAGCTTAATAAAATGGGCAACGATAGGTGCCGGCGCACCGGCCGAAAGTTCGGCCGGTCGCTCGGTAGCCGTACGATTATTGTTCGGTGGTGTGATGAAAACATTGAAATTCTGAATACACAACTTGTAATTCCATGCGCGGTTTCAACCTGACAAAATGTTGGCACAAATTAACATCTTTGTAAAGTTTTGCACAATTTCAGCTTAATAAAATGGGCAACGATAGGTGCCGGCGCACCGGCCGAAAGTTCGGCCGGTCGCTCGTTAGCCGTACTTTGAATTTAAATCATTAGCTATTTGAATTTGAATTATATTCATATAATTAGAATATAATTTCAAATACCCCTGAAATATTTTATGAGCTTTTGGAAAAGTCCATCTAGCAAAATAAAAATATTCAGAGGAGTTTTTGGCATTGTTTGAATTGTTTTAAATTCAAAACAGTGGCAAAAGATTAAATAAAAAAACAGAAACAGAAAAACAATAAAAGAATAGAAACTCACCTGGCAGCCCAGCCAGCCCACCTGGCAGCCCACTGGCCGGCCCAGCACTGTGCTGGCCCGTGCCAGCCACCTGCTTCCTCTCGCCAGGCAGGCAGAGAGGAGCGCACCGGCGCGCGCGCGGGCGCCACGCCACCAGGCTGCCTGCCTGCGTCGCCTGGCCACCGCAACGCCTCGCGTCTTCTCCTCGGCGCCGCCCCGACCCCCTGGACCCCCTCGCTCTCTCCCTCTCCCTCGTTCCCCTCCTCTGTCTCGTTCTCTCACGCACACCCGAACGCGTCGTCGCCGCCGTTCGTCACCACCGCGGCCACCGGCCAGCGCTAGACCCATGGACCAGCCCCCGAGCTCCGCTGTGCCACCCTCGTCCTCTCCGTCAGCTCACATGGCCGGAAGAGCTCCAACGCGCCGTCCCCGACCACTTCTTCATCGTCGGCCGCCGCAGATCTCCATCGCCGACTCGCCGCCGTCCGAGCTTCCCCGAGCACGCCGAGTCCACCACTGCACTCCACGTGAGCACCTGATCATCCTCCCCCTCTCCGTTCTCTCTCTAGCATGCCGTAGCCGCCGCGCCTCTCTCACCCGACAGCACGCCGCCGCACGAGCTCGTCGCCGACGAGGCTCCGGTGGCCATTTGGTTCCGCACGTGCCTCCGTTGGGTTCGTGAGCTCTCATAGAACGCGTAGGTGCTAACCGTAGATCCTCCCGTGCTCGGCGTCGTCGTTTTCATCGGCGCCCGAACTCCGGCCGCCGCGGAAGTGCTCGCCGCCGTTAACTCTGGCCACCCCAGCACCAAACACCGCCACCGTTGGATGCGCCACATCGCCAGCTACTCGTAGCGCCCACCCGCGCATCAAACCGTGGCCGGAGCAGCGTTTCCGACGCTCTCCGTCGTCTCGGCCTCCCCGGCGACTCGACGCCGGCAGGTTTGACCTGCTGACCATTGACTGGGTGGGCCCAGTTTGACCCCCTGGGTCACTGACATGTGGGCCACCCCTGTTAATTTTAGTTAGGTTAGTTTAGCGCTAATTAACCTAGATTAGTGACTAACCTAACACTAACTAACTTTGTTTAGTTAGTCAACTAACCACTGACACGTGG